GTCTGGGCTATTCAGGCTGCTACAAAGTCCCCTATACTTGTATATTTTGAAGATATCCTAGTGTTTGGGAATCCATGTGAGAATAATGCCACATACACTGACACCAGCAAATCAGCAGCACAGCAGAACCATAGAATTCCACTCTAAGACTGGTAACTGCTCACTTGATGCAGAGTGAGTTTTCCAGGTTCTAGCACAGGTCAGCCTGACATCCACCCAAGCATTCAACATAAGTTCGTGTAACTGTCCTGATGCTGCCCATTTAACCTAATTCAAGAGACGCAGTCGGTCAAAAATTTTGCAAGACAAATTATTTCTGTGAGTGTGGAGCCAGCCAAAAGCCATGTGTGAACAGGCAATTTGTCACAACTGGATCATTCCTTGTTTCTGAAATCATATCACTCTGGAGAGCACAAACCACAAAAAGTAAGGAATTACTTCCAAGCATTATTTCCTTCAGTGGAACTGCAAAAATAAGTGACACTCTGAAATTGCATCTGAGAATCAACAGAGCTATAATAATGTCAGTTTTAGTTAAAAGGTTGATGATAGGCAGCAACTCTTTTCACTTTCCCGTCACAGAGATTCTTGTTCCTCCAGCAGGTCCTTGATCAACTCACACACACCCCTTTGTCAACTATGAACTGTTCTTTGATTTCCTCCTGTAAGGAATCCCATTCCACATCAGCTCCTATGACTGCACATTGCAAGGGAAGAGTAGTAGTTGTGGGCAAGCTGTCAAGAGAGATTGTCTTCCGTTTCAGATCTTCCCATTGTGGAATCCCAGGATTCCCCACAACCCAATCGAATCTATTTGTGCTCCCGCCAGCGTTTAGTTTCTAAAAAGATTTGATTTCAGACAAATATGCCTTTAAGTCCCATTTTCCTCACCTGGAAGCCCTGTTCCCCAATTTTAGATTTGTGCTGGTGAACTGTTGATGCACCCTAATGTGTGTTGTTACTCCACATACTAACATCACAAACAAGCTCTGGGGCTGAGCTTAAGCTCATATTAAAACTTATTTTCCATGATCGGCTTTTGCTAATTTTTTTAACACATCAATTACCATTCATTCCCCATTTCTACATCAGGGAATTGCGCTGAGATTTTGCCACAAAGAGTACAGGATTGCAACTGTGCTCCATAGCATGCTGAGATTTTGCCACAAAGAGTACAGTACAGGATTGCAACTGTGCTCCATAGCAACTTTAATCCTTCCCATCTGATGGTGTTGAAAGCCTTTTTGTCCAGTTTTCTCTCCACAAGGCAGAGGTCTGCTTTGTGTTCTCAGACAGGCGGAAGTTGGTTTGTTTCTTTTCAAGGGGCCTTATCGACATTCGGCAATTTATTGGAGTTATTCTTACAAAATGCCACCGCAGAGCTTTGGAAGCCCCTGCCCGGCTGGGCTGCCCTTGATTTGTCATGGTGGATTTCCTTTTGCTCTTGGAAATGGTCCCTGGGCTTTAAGCTTTTAACACTGAGGTCTTGTAAGTCTTTGGTCCAAGGCAGCAGATAAACCAGGATAAAAGGAACAACTCATTCGGAAATGTTTTAAAGGCTGCAACCTCAATGCATAATTAGCACAGAGGACAGGGAACCAAGGAACAGATAGCCTGATAATCCTCTGTGATGGTGCAAAGGTGCCTTGGAAAAATTCCCCCTCCAAATTATTTGCCCGGGGGGGGGGGACTCTATTAGCCTGCGGTCACACACACTAAATAGTCCATTTTCAATCCACTTTCAATGCACTTTCCAAAAGGATTTTGCCAGTTCACAAACAGTAAAATCCCATTGGAAAGTGCATTGAAATTGGATTATTTAGTGTGTGTGGACCACAGCCTCAATCTGCTGCCTACCCACACATACTCACTTTTAGCCATTTATGACACCCTAAAGTCCTCAACAAGGTTGGAGAGGCCAGAAGAGGTGTCAAGCAGGCATCTTTCCATCCTGCTTGGAAGTCTCTACCCTTTGGCTCTACAGTTGGACCAAGCTTGTAGACAGCAATTGTCTGGAGGGAGGAGGAATCTCCTCCAAGTGACCAGGCAAGGAAGGTTATGTACACTGATAGAGTGGACTGTATGGGTTGGAATCAGCTAGCTTTTTTACTAAGGCTGCAGTCACACAGACTAAATAATCCACTTCCAATGCACTTTCCAACTGGATTTTGCCGGTGGCCACTTCCTCACTGTCATTTTTATCACTTGTTTGTCCCTATTGATTCAGGGTTCCCCCCGCATGTGTTTTGCTCTCTCTAGTAGTCGTCCCAGTCTCTCTAGTAGTAGTAGGAAAAAGGGGGACGGACCCAAAGCAATAGGGACAAATGAGTGACAAAAATGACAGAGTGGAAGTGGCCTCTTGTGTAAAATCCAGTTGGAAAGTGCACTGAAGGTGGATTATTTAGTCTGTGTGACCGCAGCCTAAATCTTACCCCTCCATATTTTAGTCCACCATGGAATCCAGTGTTTCTGCTGGGTCCAGAGATGGAGCCTACACTGTTCAGCTCAGTGCACCAACTGTCTGCTAACCCTTTCAAGGTGAGTAGGATGCTCAAGGCACATGTGCACAGGGGAATATGCCTTAGGATGCTGCTTGAGGAAATAATCTTACATGGTGCCTGTGAAGAAATACATTTTGTCCTGGGAGGTTCGAAATGAGCCAAACCTCCATTTTGCATTTTAAACTTTTTTTCCCCTCCTCTGGGCAGAGGACAGGCAGGAGAAGAAGGAAGTCCGTTCCCAAGCAGGCACGTTCCACCACAGTGCCTTTTGTACTTTAGCAAGCGAAACCAGTAGTTCCCAGCCCTTTCCCAACCCACAAGTCCAAATTTACTTTGTATGGTGACCCCTCCAAGGCTCACCCAAGGGTTCGGGGGCCCTAAGCAAACTTAGCACCCATCTAGTTCAGCATTTCATTTTCGACAATGGCTAATCAAATGTTTTCGGGAAACCAACAAATTTCACGCAAAGAGTGCACCTGCCCCCACTATAAACCCCAAGCAAGTGGCATTCTGACATGCACAGCCTTTGCATAGGCAGATTACATTCCAGCCTTTGACCACCTTTCTCCTTCTCCATTCTCCTTTTCTTCTCCTCTTAAGATGGGGGTTAGGGGAGGGGCTGTGGCTCAGTGGTAGACCATCTGCTTGGCATGCAGAAAGTCCCAGGTTCAATCCCTGGCGTCTCCACTTAAAAGGGCCCAGCAGTCTGAGACACTGCCTGAGACACTGGAGAGCAGATGCCAGTCTGAATAGACAATACTGACCTTGATGGACGAACGGTCTGATCTGAGGCATATTCATGTCTACAGGATTCTAAGAAACTCAATCTAGTAACCATGAGGATACATTTTATTCAATCAACATGCATACGCAGTGAAGAAAAAAAACCCATAGAATCATAGAGTTGGAAGGGACTTCCAGGGTCATCTAGTCCAACCCCCCACACAATGCAGGAAATTCACAAATACCTCCCCCACACACCCCCAGTGACCCCGGTTCCACACCCTGAAGATAACTAAAAAACCTTCAGGATCTCCAGCCAAACTGGCCTGTAGAAAAGCTGCTTCCTGACCCCAATGTGGCATCAGCATTTCTCTGGGCCACAAGAACTTAGCATTGACGCAACCCTTCCTACCCTCCCTTTCATAATCTGCCTAAGTTCACAGAATCAGCATTGCTGTCAGATGTCCATCTAGCCTCTGTTTGAAAACCTCCAAAGAAGGAGAGCCCACCACCTCCCAAGGAAGCCTGTTCCACTGAGGAACTGCTCTGTCAGGAAGTTCTTCCTAATGTTTAGCTGAAAACTCTTCTGATTTAATTTCAACTCATTGGTTCTGGTCCAACCTTCTGGCATACTAATGTATACCATGGAAGATCTTGTTTCCAGGGCCAGATCTTGGTTTCCAAAATACAGAAGAGAGCAGTGGAAAGGGCAGGGCGGCCATTAGAAAGCACTGGTCCATGACCCACTTGCAGAGGATTTGTGACCCAGTTTTGGGTCCTGTCTCACAGGTTGGGAAACAGTGCTCTAAATTAATTAGGATGGGCAGAGATGCAGGAAAGCATGTTCTGGTTGCAAGATGGAGTGAGAGAGATGTGGCAGCCAGAAGGAAGAGGATATTGGATTTATACCCCGCCCCTTACTACCTGAAGGAGTCTCAGAGTGGCTTACAATCTCCTTTCCCTTCCCCTCACCACAGCAGACACCCTGTGAGGTAGGTGGGGCTGAGAGAGCTCTTTCAAGAACTGCCCTTGAGAGAACAGCTCTGAAAGAACTTATGACTGACCCAAGGTCACACTGGCAGCTGCATGTAGAGGAGTGGAGAATCAAACCCGGTTCTCCCAGATTAGAGTCCATGCTCCTAACCGCTACACCAAACTGGAAGGAAGGAAGATTCCCTAAGACTCCCTAAGAGTAGCAGTCTGTATATCAAAGAGATAGTAGCAGAGCCATAGAAAGGAAGGGATGCATAGGTCCTGACCTATCTATCACTCTGACTTTTCTGTAGTCCCCTTCTGGAGTCTGAGGCTAAGAGACAGTGGAAAGTCATTCATTTCCAATACAACTAATAGCTATAAATTTAAAAATTACTTTAAAAACAAGCTAAAAATTTAAAGGGGGGGGGGACTTTGCACCTTGTTTTCCCAGCAGCTAGCCTTAAAGTATGGAAAAAAAACTGGCTAGGATCACACACACAGCCGTTCATTGGCAATCCTCTTAGATTTAAATGTCCTGTCCTGTCCCTGACAATAGAGGCATAGTTTCTTAAAGGATTTCTTCTCTGTTGCATGCATATACTGCCACCAGGTATAATATCATAAATGAACTTAAAGTTAAACATCTTGGGTGGTGAATATACCTGATCTGGATGGAAGCAGAGTGTCAAATAAATTCCCCTTTACTAGTTCAAATGTTGCTTCCCCTGATCTAGGTACATCTGTCTTTCATCCTCTCAGTAAGTGGTGGTCCATTGCTTATGCTTTTGTCCTTCCTTCAAGGATGACTGCAATCCGAAAGAAGCACAGATACTGGCCTTACTCCGTAGACTGCAAAGGCACTGAGGCTCATCTCTCCAGTTGCAAAGTGGGCAATCGCATCAGTACAGCTTTCGGGGGGAACATTACATGTGTGAATGGAATGCCTGCTGTGGTGAGCTGCGTCCCTGGCCGTGCCTTCGCCCCGGGCAGCCGCACTGGCTTCCGCAAAGCCTTCCGGCAGGAGGTAAGAAAGAGGCTTGCTCAGCTTTCGCCGAAGAACATGATTTTTCTGGTGCTTTTGGTTTGCTGTAGACATTTAGACGAACATACAATTCTGCTGCAGTAGGATTGCTCCTCTGAGCAAAGCCTTTTGAAGGTGCTGCTCCTGCACATGTGCAAAGCCAACAGCTGCCCATACCCAAGCATTCTCTGTTGTGGCCCCCTGCTTGGTGGAATGGCTGGCCTGACAAGATCAAGAGGGCTCCCACACTCCTATCGTTCTGCAAAATCAGGTGAACTGCACAGGAGGACATTATTATAAAGGGACTATCGTAGCTGTTTTAATGTCTATGGAATCTTCCTAGATAGCTTTTATTGTATTTATCCTTAGTTTTTTATTATAGTTATTGTTTTTATTGGTGGGCTCTCCAAAATACTGAGCCCAAGACACTTGCCGTAAAGAGACTGAAAGCTGTAGAGTATTGTTTTGTGGTCAAGCAGTTGTGAAGTTTTGGGTGTTTAGCCCCATTCATTTCTCCTTGAATATGAACAAAGGGTTGCACAGTCCAGGGCCATGTTAGGTTAGAATAAAATATTCCAATATGATGAACTGTAGTTTATCCCGAATTCCTTCTGCATATAGGGTATCATGTACAGAACTGTGTACATGCACAGATGGACTGTGATCCCAGAAGTGGCATTAGGGGTTTCTTCACCCATAGTGTGAACGAAAGTTCATAACTTGTCTTCTTATACACACATACCAACAAGTTGAATACCGTGTCAGCTCTTCATCTTATTCCTCCATTCATGCTGCAGGCTGTCTTTTTATGATATATAATTGTTTAAAGTGGCACATGTATAAGTTTGTTTCAATTTAACAAAACAAAATCACAAACATTTGAAAACGGGTGCCAGATTGCTCCATGGATTGAAGAGAGAAGTCTGTTGGTGATGACATTGATGCTTGACAATAAGCACCCACCACAACCAACTTTTTTGTTTATCCAGAGTTCGTCTTCCAAGGGCAGAAAGCTGTGTGTCTGTTTGGAGGGCACTCTCGGCTGTTTCACTCTCAGTCGCTGTGGTTTCTCTTCATGAGAGCAAGGCCTCTTTTATTACCTTCTTCTTGCTTTGGCTCAGGATGTTTCTTGGGCTAAGGACAGTGTGAGATTTGTTTATTGCTGGAAATGGCACTTGACAAGTCACATAGCAAACCTTTGCTGCATTCTTCTTCCAAGTAGTTTGGCTTGGGCCTGTCAACTGCTAATCTGGCTGGCTGTGCTGAACTTGCTGCTCCGTCTTTCTTTCAAACTGTCAGTTTTTATTATTATATAAATGTTAGATCTGGACAATCATGCATCAGTCTCCCTTTGCTTTTATATAATAGTGGCTTGCAACTGACAAATTTCACATAGGAACATCCAGCCCAAGCTCAGAGTTTAGTTTTGTTTAAATGAATATTTAGAGCCAGCAACAAATGCCAAATTAGCACCATACCCAAAAAATGCAGACTTGTGGTCCTGTCATGTTCATGATGTGACAAACTGTCATGGCTGGAAAACTGTTCATGTCAGTACCAGACAATGAAATCACAACAAAGGAAATGTGATACCAATTTGAACCAAATTCTACATCACTTGTCATAGGTCACTGACAGAAAAGAATTCTGTGGAATTTTATAGATAGATAGGTAGATAGGTAGATAGGTAGATAGGTAGGTAGGTAGATAGATAGATAGATAGATAGAGATAGAGAGATAGATAGAGATAGAGAGATAGAGAGATAGAGAGATAGAGAGATAGAGAGATAGATAGATAGATAGATAGATAGATAGATAGATAGATAGATAGATAGATAGATAGATAGATAGCATCTGTCTCCTGGAAAGCCTCCATCTCAGCTTCTCCATCACATTCTCCTGCTGTGATGTCACGGCATACTCCTCAACATTCTAACTGCTGAAGAGGAAGGATTAGCTACAGAATATTAGGAACTGGTACATCCCAACAAGACATCTGTCAGTTGGTGACTGGCTTGGTGACTGGAGGGATTTGATGGCTCTTTGATATCAGTAAAAACTCTGAAGTGATCTGTCTACTTGTACTCGCTTGCAGGCTCTGAGTAACAGATGCCAGAAGTCAAACAAGGCAGAATCGCTCAGTCCAAGGTCAGGGGTACAGAAGTCAGGCAAGGCAGAGGGGGGGTGACTTAGCATCTATTGTACATGTTGCATCCACTCATAACAGCCTCTCTTGACTGGTTTTTATAGCCTCACTAGGAATAAGGCTCATTGTAGACGCCATACAACGAGCTCTGGAAGGAAGGAAGGAAGGAAGGAAGGAAGGAAGGAAGGAAGGAAGGAAGGAAGGAAGGAAGGAAGGAGACAGAGAGGGAAAGAAAGAGGGAGGGGGGAGAGAGAGAGGGAAAGAAAGAGGGAGGGGGGAGAGAGAAAGACAGAA